ACAGAGAGAGAAAGCCTTCCCCTGGAGCTGATGCCCTGAATTTGGACTTTTAGCCTACTTTACTGTGAAGAAATAAACTTCTCTTTGTTAAAGCCATCCTCTTGTGGTATTTCTGTCACAGCAGCACTAGATGACTAAGACAGTGACGTTAGGACATATTAAAGGAGCCCTGATGGCGCAACAGGTAAGCACTCAGCTGCTAACCGAAAGGTTAGCAGTTCAGACCCATCCAGCAGCTTGTGGGAGAACCTGGTGATCTGCTTCTGTAAAGATCACAGCCAAGAAAACCCTATGGGGCAGTTCTGCTGTGTCACGTAGGTCTCTAGAGTCGAAATCGGCTTGACGGCGCCTAACAACAAAAACAACAGGACATATTAACTATGGTGTCTGTATTCAGGTATCTGTGCTCCAGAATAAATACATGGTTTCCTTTAAAATATATGAGAATACCAGAAAGGTGACTCTTCTGAGCAATCCTTATACAGAAAAATGGAAAAAAATAAAGTGTAATAACAATAAAAGACACAAAAAATAACTGAAAACCTCACATTTGTTTACTTTGTGCCAGACATTATTCTAAAGGATTTACACAGGTTAAAATGATTAGTCCTGTGAAGTATAGGAATTGTTTCTATCTCCATTTCACAGATGAGGAACCTGAGGCAAAATTACTTGCTGAGGAATCAGGTTTTAAACCTAGGAAGTGTAGCTGTTTAGAGAATAATACATCATTCTGCGCCCTTGCCCAACTTCAGGCCCCATTAAGTTATATATTTTGTAAGAATGCTGTCTCTTCAAATAAGGGGCCTTGAATCCTCCTTTCCTATCCTACTACCCCCAAGTTTGGAGAGAGGATGTGTGAATAGATCTACAGATGGTATCAGCTTTACCTTCTCTGCTCGCTGTCTCTGTGTGATGATAAGTATCAGTAAGTACAACTCTGGGTTACTTGAGTTTTCTTACGTAACTAACAGCATTAGTGAAACCATATGTTTGAATAGTTTCCAACAGTTGTCTAAATTCTTTTCCAGTTGGAAGGTTCCTGCTAACTAGAATTAATTTTTAGATTATTATTTTTTACTGTTAAATTCTTTTGGCTTCCTTGAAATGCCCCTCCTAGTTCTCACTCGTTTTAT